CTACCACCATTGACACTACTATCTTACTATTTTGTGCAAAGATGAAGAAAACGTTCCATAAGAATAGTTTTTTAGCTAATGACCTAAAACAAATAGCAACAAACACATGCACAGAAGACAGAACATCAAAGTCTTACAATGATACTCATATGAATCACACTGTCACCTTATTTGCCACATTAGTTGAGAAAAACTTTATATGTTGATGATAAACTCACTAGTAGTGAGCTTATTATGAAAAAGGCAAGGCAATATGAACATCAATCTAAATTCTATTCTTTTTTCATAGGATAATTAACTCTATTTCAAACCATTTATTTTGAAATACAGTGAAAACCAATGTTATCCCAATTGGAGTCCTGACCACTGAGAGTCTGAAGCATTCTCTCAAGATAGAATAAAAATTTCCATAGTTATTTTGTATTTGTGTTCAGTGAACCCCTAAAAGGCCAGTATTAAAGTTTCAATGCAATGTTTCCCAAACTTGGAGGCTGATGTGAATTTTCATCCTGTCAAAGGTAGAGAAAAAATGTACACACACCAAGTCCAAGAATGTATGTACTGTGGTTTATTCTGTAATTTGGATACTCTTTTATGACAGTTGGGCTTCCCTGTGGCTCAGCTGGTAAAGAATCCTCCTGCAATGTGGGAGACCTGGGTTCGACCCCTGGGTTGGGAAGATCCCCTGGAGAAGGGAAAGGCTACCCACTCCAGTATTCTGGCCTGGAGAATTCCATGGACTATTCCAAGAGGTAGCAAAGAGTCAGACATGACTGAGTGACTTTCACTTTATGACAGTTAACCTACCTACCTAATTTCTCACCTACCTATATATCTATTATATTAATTTTTCTGATAATCCATATAAACATTATCAGGTAGAAACTTATCAACACTAAGATTGAGGATTATTTTCAACAAGTGTGAGGAACAGGAAATTAATGGTTTCCTAAAGATGGAAGATTCATAAAATTTTGTGCTCTAGGATCAATTTTATTTTCCATTTGGATACTATTAGCAAAAGCCTTCAGTAAAAGAATGATATCAGAACAAGCTTGACTATACTTTATATACTGGTATGCCCAGAGGCCCTGACCATATCTTAGGCATATTAGTTACAAGAAGGAAGGCTACGGCATGTGTGAGGGGAGGAGAAAAGCAGCAGACTTCATTAATGATGAAAGACTTCAGGGCTGGTGGGCATCAAATTTTGGCTAGTTTACAACGGCAAACCTCTTCTCCAAAAAGAATTTGGTATGTGAAAAGCATACCAAGTTCCAGCTTTCACGGATCCAAGAATGAGAACAAAACCATGTTTTCTAATGGGCTTCAAAGACCATGGCCACATACGACAATTTCATTTAGACATGCTCAAGCATGTCATTAAATTAGCATGCCTTTTCAAAGTTGAAGACCAAACCATGTACACTTTTCACCAAGAAATATCACCATTCAGTTTTTAAACTAATAATTCAAAGCACTATATTTCTCATTTTTTTTGCTTCTTTTTCCTTTGCATTATGATAAATATGGGATTTCAATTCTGCCTTATATGATTAACAATGGATCTCCTAATACTAGTGAATTAAAATAGAAGAAGAAAGTCTTTGTCTATGAAGTCCAACATTAATGTAGTTTCTGTAGACTGTTAGCAGGACTGTAGTTCCTGTTTATAAGCACAGCTTTCTGTTTCTTTGCATAACTCACAATGTTGTGTTGATAAAAACTGGAGAATCAACATAGATCTTCTGCATCCTCCAGGAATAATTTTTGTGCTTTTTGTCTATTGGGGAACTTTCATTTTGTAACTTTTATGACAATTTTTGCTAGTATTCTCATTGCCTTTCTGGATAAAATACTTGGCAGAGACTAAGGATCTCAAGTCCTATTTGAACTCTCCATTTCAAAGAGTATCGATGTTTGCCCAGTTTCTTTTTAACATACTAAATTTCTAGATTTAAATATTTAATTTATCTGAAATTCATATTAGTAGACAAAGTCCAGGAAGAAATTACAGCCAGCTGCAATTACAATTGTTCCTGATTAACCCAGCCTTAAACTGTGAGTCCACTTAAATGTGTATTATTTTTTTCAGTAAACACATACATGATCATGACTGCTTGAATCTCCAGATACAGAACTGTGGTAGTGAGGTCTGATTTTAGAACTTGTGAGTTGGCAGATTTTGGTACTAATGATGGGCCCTGGCATCACTCCCTCACAGATACTAAAAGATGACTGTATTTTTAATCTTGTCTGGGTTAATTAGTAATAAAATACTTTTGAGAATAATAAATGCTACAGAGTAGCTCTGCAGAAAAATCTGCACATATACACAAATCTTGCATAATTTCAGTAAGCTCACAGACTGTCTAGGGTCCCTTTCTATGGAACCCAGATTAAAAATTTGTAAATTATAGAAAAAAATTGTGTCCCTTTCTATATTCTATCTTATTCCATTGGTCATTGTATCTGTCCATATACATAGCAGTGCCATACAGTTTTAATTACACCAAGCATCTTTCCTTGGTAGCTCAGTTGGTAAAGAGTCCACTTGTAATGCAGGACACCCTGGTTCCATTCCCGGGTTGGGAAGATCTGCTAGATGGAGGGATAGGCTACCCACTCCAGTAATCTTGGGCTTCCCTTGTGGCTCAGTTGGTAAAGAATCCTCCTGCAATGTGGGAGACCTGGGTTTGATCCCTGGGCTGAGGAGATCCCCTGGAGAGGGGAAGAGCTACCCATTCCAGTATTCTGGCCTGAAGAATTTCATAGACTGTATGTACAGTCCATGGGGTTGCAAAGAGTCAGACATGACTAAGCAACTTTCACTTTCACAAGCATCTTTCTCTCTAAGCCTTTACACTTGCTATTCTCCATGCCTGAAACACTCTTTTCCCCTTGCTAGTCTCAAAGTAAACTCACTTCAATGCAGGTCTCGGCTCAAATGCTACCTCCTTAGAGTCCTTAGGTGGTTACACTATATATACATTGCTTCCCTCACTTTTAGCTTCTTAGACAGCTTCATTTTTCTTCATGACCCTGATTACTACTTCACATTTTATTACACTTTTAATAGTTTCCTGTGAGTTTTCTTTACAAGAAGGAAGGGGATTTTTTTTTTCCCCATTACTGTATCCTCAGAAATAAGTAGTACAGTCCCTGGAACATTTCAGGTGGTCTTTTCAATTATTAATGTAAAACACCAAAGTTTGAACATGGCAACTTACTGGCTTATCCTGCTGGTCTAAGTAAGTAAAGTACATAAAAGATATATAAGCTCCATCTGCTTCCCAAGAAAAGTAATTTGTCAACTTTCTACAATAGGACGGTGAAGCTTTAAGGGGCTAAGAGAATGCCACTTGTTTCACTGTAGTTTTTACTGCAACCATGTGAGAATAAAAGTAATGAGCTGTTTAAGGAAGACTTGGAATACATTTGATAGAACCACCTCACTTCTGAAAATCGAAGTTACCTGGCAACATTGTTTGTTCTTTCTGTTGTAGATCTTCTAGTCAACTGTCAGCCACTAGGCAATTATACACACATACACACACACTCACACAACACTTTTTTTTCCCTTTATCAAAATATGCATCTATTTGTAAGAAAATAAACACAATATATTTATTCATGACATGACTGGATTGTCCTCATGGTACCCTGAGCCTATAGAGAACAAATTTCAACATCTGTCATATATTATAATGTTTTTTATGGACAAGAATACTTACAAATTCACAGAGGAGGGTACTCTTCTATGCTTTTTAGTTTGGGTGATGAACATGTACTGATTTATTCATGCCCTCTTTCCCAATTTCACGGTGACTAACAGCCCACATCTTTGTGAGGTTAAAGGAGTGGTCTGTGGTCACAAAGAAATTTTAAGTAAACTCTCCCAAATTAGGATTTAACCAATGATCTTGACATTAGTGGCATGGAATTCCAACCAACTGAACTGACAGGCAATTAAACATATATACAATATAAATTCATGACACTAACATAGGTTACAGAAAGAATTAGAAAATAATCATTATGCTAGTGGAAAAAAGAAAAGAAAAAAAGATAAAATTACTGTTATACTGTTTTCTTACCATAGATAGATATTACTTACAGATCTGTTTAATTTTCATAATAAATGGGTAACTGTGTGTTTTTGAGAACAACCTTTAGTGACATTTAAAAAATATATATATAACATTGATCCTAGATACTAGAAGCACTCGGTTTCCTAGGGCTTCATTAAAATTAATAAGTCATAAGAAAATCTGGGATTTTGTTCTCAAAAGCTGAAAAGTCAATTCAGTCACATTTATAAAGCATGGTCAAATGAACAATCATGTAAAGCAAAGACTTCTATGAATGTTATTTTTTGCTTTTTACGCTTGTTGGAGGAAAGATTTATTCAGTTATCTTATACCTGAGAAGACTAAATGCAAGTATTAATAGAACCATGCAAATTCAATTACAGAAAATTAAACTAATGAATTTTTTAACTGTTCATTAATGTAATCAAAAGATATTTTGAATGTAGGCCATATTTGTTGATATGTGTATATTTCATGAGACTACAGGGGTTATTTGTGAGGTTCTACTTTTACTACCAACTACAGATATACAACTACACAAATTAGGCACAGATGAATCTAATTAAACTGTTTTCAACACATATATATTATTTTCTTTGATTTTATATGCATATGTTTGTGAAAAAGGAAAACAAGTATCTCAAACAGGAGACAATGTAGTTATAGTGACTAAACATTAATTTGGATTCTGACTTCTTTGAAAATAGAGGAAAAAGGCAAAATTATCAGCATTAAAAAGTGAAAAGTACAGATACATTAAAAATTATTCAGTTAAAATATTAAACTCAAAAGTAAAAATAATTATGCCCAATAAGGTGAATTTAAGTAAGATAAAATAATAGTAAAGTTACTTTATTTTGAGAAAATTTAGAAGAAATAAGATATTCATAAAGAGCTAATTTTACTAACCTGACTAATTTCTCTCTGCTCTTGTACAGCTTTTTGAATTGCCTGAGACACTTCCTCTTGATCTTTTGCGTGCTCAGTCTTCCAGAGCTCCCTTTCTTCAGCATGGACATTTTCCAAATGTTTTCTTTCTTCTTCTATAGCTTTTAAAACTGCATCCTTCACCACTTCTTTCTCAAGCTTCAAAACAAATAATGACCACAACAAAAACATCTGAGTGAGTGACCACAGTAATTCCTTGAATAAGACACACTGGAGTTAACCTAAAAAACACAAAACTTTGATCTTACTGGGTTTATTTCTGACTTTTTTTTTTTTTACTCATATGTAATAACTGCTGTAAAATAAAATTAATTATTTGGTTTTACACAAATAACCAACTTACTTCCATGGTATTTCTAAACTTCAGAGAAATCAAGCCTTAATTTAAAGTAGCAGTTTTCAAACTATTTTGCCTTAGGATCTCTTTACACTCTTAATTATAGAGGACTTCTAAGATGTTTTGTTTACATGGGTTATACATATTAAGATTTTCCACCTTAGATATTTAAACCAGGAGAAGATAAACATATTAACTAATTAATTAAAATTAATAACATTAAATAAATATCAATAATGAATTTTATGAAAATAATTTTCCAAAGTTAAAAAGTTAGAAGAATATCTGCAAACCTCCTTACTATCTGACTTAATAGAAGAAAGCTTAGATTCTCATATATGAGTTCTGTATTAAATCTGCCATGATTTTTTTTTTTTTTGCTGAAGTGTATAAGAACAACCCAGCCTCACAAAGATATGAAGTAGAAAATAAAATGTATTTTATACATACTAAATGTATCCAGTTGAGATCACTGTGGATATTCTTTCTGATTCCACACCAAAACTTAACAAGGAGCAGTTCTTAAAGGTAAGTTGCAATAAGGAAAATAAAATCACGTCAATGAACTTCTCGTACTGTTACATTACAATCTTTTCTTACCTTCTGAATGAATTCTTTACAGATGATTTTTTAAACATTTTTTATTTGGAAAATATTGATTCAATGAGTTATGCATCTCTTTCAGATGTTGACACATTTCTCAATATTATAACCAAAACAGTTATGTTTGTTCATACCACCATCAATCTCATTATAAGTCTTTAAGTATTAAAAAGTAGAAATAAATCTTCCAAATTTCTAATTTTTGTTTTAAATCTCTAATTTTATCATTGGCAACAAAAACTGTCAGTTTTTTTTTTGTTTTTTTTTTTCCCCTTAAGGTGTTGGGCTTACTCTGCTTATTTTGGAGAAAGTGTCTGCCACATACTAAAGTCTGTATAACCCTAGTAATTTAGTAAAATGGCATTCTATGAAAAAAGAGCCCATTTTGGATGCAACTCAAACAGCTGCCTAAGAATTTTCCTGAAGAAAATCACCATACTTTGGTACACAGTAAAGTCCATGGGCCTCCCACTCCTAAGAGAGTTACCATTTTTCTCTTGTTTTCAGCTCACAACCAAGTTTGACAAAAGCCATTAAAGCTGACAGTCATCATTTTTTTAACTCCTGCTTTATTTCACAATTCTTTCAAATCACTCCCTTACTGTGTACACCAATGCCTTCCATGTTGTTTATACCAAATGGTATTTTTTGTTCTGTTTTAATCCTATTTTCATGACGTCAAGCAATGTTCTACATAGTTGATTATTTCTGATTTTGTAAAGCCCTCTTTTCCTGGTTTGCATGAGAGCATGCTGCATATATTTCTTCTATGCATCCTGCTGAGTGTTTTCAGTTCTTCGGAACTTCTTCCTTTTTCTGGATCTGAATGAATACTCCGGGAGTTCACAACTTGGCCATCTCCTGCATCATCGATACCAAGCATGCTGATTCCATCTTCTATTTCCAGAATTTGGCTATTTCATTATTTTCCAAGTTACAACTGCTACTCGAGTTCTTTCTGCCATTCACTATGTCTTACCCAGACTTCAGATACATTCTGTTAATTCCTTCTCAGGCTTTGGCCTTTCTTGCTACTGCTACTGCTAAGTCACTTCAGTCGTGTCCGACTCTGTGTGATCCCATCCCTGGGATTCTCCAGGCAAGAACACTGGTGTGGGTTGCCATTTCCTTCTCCAATGAATAAAAGTGAAAAGTGAAAGTGAAGTCGCTCAGTCATGTCTGACTCTTCGCGACCCCATGGACTGCAGCCTACCAGGCTCCTCCATTCATGGGATTTTCCAGGCCAGAGTACTGCAGTTGGGGGCCATTGTAGTTTCTTGCTACAGTTTCCCCCAAATTAATATCAGTTACCATCATGACCCACCTACACTGGGAAATTTCAGTGTGTCTCTACTTCTCTATGGAATAAAATTCCAGCTCACTATTCAGAATGTTAGTCATCCTTCAAGGCTCAATTTAAAAGAAATTTACTATTAAAAACTACTACAACATGGAAATACAATCTATGCACTCATAATAATTTAATGCAATCCTTTTTACCTTATTAGTACATAAGGAAGGTTTTTTAATTTGATTGTAAATTCTTTAAGAAAAAGACAAAATCATAGTCATTCTTGAACTTCCACCCCAGCATAGTGATTTGTACATGGGAGACTTTCAACATTTGTTTGCTAAATTTAAATATAAATCCCAAATGCAACACTCAGTGCTTTATTTGCATTAAAAAAATTAGTAAACAGAAACTTCAATTAAATAGTGTCAGGAGACAGTAAGATACAACATGCTGTGACATGGAAGAGCCCAGCAGGAAGAAGTAAGACTCCTCTACTTTCCCGGTGAGAACTCAGCCAATGAAATGCCAATGAAATGGACTCTGTTGACCATGGCCCTCCCAACTTCCCTTTCTTCTTCCTTCCTTCCCATATGGGAACTTGCTCACAATATGGTTGCAGACCCTGAATTGCAATTCCCTGACAATCCTGAACAGATGCATCATTGCTGGAGAAATACGTGGCATTCTGTTCATTTTAGCTCAACATTTTGGTGGCCTGCATAGGGATCAGAGAAGACACCTGAAGACTCCAGGGCTACTGAACAGATGTGGTACCCACTGTCACTCACTCACTTTCTTGTTGATAGGAGTTTTGCAGGTACACCTTTCTCCTAGATCCTAAGTTCATGCCCTCTTTGTGTTTGAGGCTCTCCAGGTTTTATTCAGACTCTGTTTTAAGGTTTTGCATTTCTGCTAAAGGCCTTGTTCTGCATGCATTTGGCACTCCAGTCTGATTTTGAGTTCAGACTGTTTCCATCGAAGCTGGCTAGAAATGCCTTCAGTCTGTTCCTTTGGGAATAGTGACTTCTCCACTGAAACTGTATCTGTTTTCACCCTTTGGCCAATTCTTTGGAAAGGACTATTCTCTGGAAATTGACTGAAAAAGGCCTTTGGCCTGGCTCTTCCAGGGCCACGCTGTCTCCTTAGAACTGACTGGTGATAGCTTGCAAGCTGTCTGAGCTGTAAGCTGTTAAACCGCTTGAAATTGTCCTTTTAATCTAGAGAAAAACCTCTGAGAAATGAGATCCCACTTACCTACGTATTTTGAGGTCACTCCCCCTACAGGGACTCCTGCTAAACTGATCTTTAAAAACAATAGTTGTAATCCTCCTGATGCTCATTTTTTAAAAAAAGAAAAGAAAAAAAGAAAAACTGACCTGACCAAAGACAAGTTAGAATATCAGTGGCCATTATGGGAAACTTTTGAAATTTCTAAACTTAATTTCCTTAAAACTGAATTAGATCACAACAGTTCAAAACTTTCAGAACAGAGTGGTATGCCTGTTTTGATTGGTATCTGAAGACTTGTCACCATTATCCAAGAAGCTGAAAATAGCCTCTCTGCAAAATAAGATCTTAAGATTAACTGAGGCAAACAAACAATTAAAGAGAGATGAAATGGTTCCGAAAGCCTCAGGCTCTTCTTCCTTGGTTTCCCCAGCACAATCTTTCTCATCCTTGGATCTTTTTGGCCAGACTCTGCCTCTGGCGCCATCTTCCTCCCACCTTTCTGTGCCCTTGATGCCTCCTCTATATCCCATAGTAATTATCCTATCAAACTTACCCTCTCTAAAACTCTTCCCATCCCCATTTTCCTCTGAAATATTCAGAACTTTTATTGTAAAACTAAGCCTTCTGAGGGTCCAGAAGTTAAACCTTTAATTTCTTATATTCTCTGAACTAAACCTAAACTGTAAGTCATAATAAAATATTCTCTCAAAGTAAACTGAAGATCCTCATACATTTGCTGAGGAATTTAATACAGTCATTTAAACTTATCAACAGTGTTCCTCTGACTCATGTCAGCTAGTTCATATGCTTGTTGGTTAAGGCCAGGCCCAGCATAGGATGAAAACCGCTAACTGGGAAAATCCTGAAAGGTCAGGCAATCATTAGATGACTTCATCGAGCAATTTCTGGGGCTTTTTCAAAACCTGTCGATTGAAACAGAATTCAGGATTGCACACAAAAATTGGATGACCCTTTTTATGACTACTATAATCAACTTCAGAATGCTTTTAAAGAAAATTCTGGTCTTCCTTCAGATGTTGATTCCACCCAGGCAGCTTTGAATTCTGTATTATTAATAGGCTGAACTGGGACCTCTTTCTTCCCATCTAGTAAAAAGGACGAGGATGGAATGGAAAACTATGTCTACTTCAGACTTAATTAGCAAACCAGCTCTCTCACACTCTAGATGAGTCACTGGAAAAGAAGAATACCAGGCTTCCTAATCTTCAAATCCAGCAAATGAAGACTTCTAAATGAAACCAAAACCTTCCCAGTTTCTACTATAATTGCAAAGAGCCAGGCCACTGGAAAAGACTGTTACAGATTTAAGTATTTTGAGTGTTTTCGATCCTCTACTCAGCCTTTCCCTTGTCCTTTCAATTCTCAGTTGCAGGGTTTTGAGCAACTACAGGGTCTCTTCCCAGTCCTCCCTCTCAGTTGGCTTGAAGAAATATTTTTCGTGATTGAGGATGAATCTCTTCCTGTCTCAACCAACAACAAAGGCACAGTCTCAGGGTTCCATCTCATTGCTATAATGCAGCTCCTTCAATTCAGTTCAGTTCAGTCGCTCAGTTGTGTCCGACTCGTTGCGATCCCATGAATAGGCATGTCAGGCCTCCCTGTCCATCACCAACTCCCGGAGTCCACTCAAACCCATGTCCATCGAGTCGGTGATGCCATCCAACCATCTCATCCTCTGTTGTCCCCTTCTCCTCCTGACCTCAATCTTTCCCAGCATCAGGGTCTTTTCCAATGAGTCAGCTTTTCGCATCAGGTGGCCAAAGTATTGGAGTTTCAGCTTCAACATCAGTCCTTCCAATGAACACCCAGGACTGATCTCTTTTAGGATGGACTGGCTAGATCTCCTTGCAGTCCAAGGGACTCTCAA